GACCAAAAATTGTCCAAATCGAACCAAAACTGGTCAAGCTCCTAGGTACTGAAAGCTCCTAGGGGACCCCTAGGGGTGCCTTCAGTTGACTTTTTACCGAAAATATCGATCAAAGTGTGAGATATATAATAGAAATTCGGAGGGAATCCTCTCCTGATAATAGCATCTGTGAGCGTCAAAAATTTGTTGAATTGCGTTAATATTTCCCTTATAATATAAATATTTTCGAACTTTCAAGTGACTTTATACCGCATATATCAGCCAATATGTGAGTTATCAAAATTAAAATGAGAGAGCGTATTTTCCTAATAACAGTATATTGTATCTTTGTGCCTAAAATAAGTAAAATCGGGTGAAAACTTGCCCTAGCCCTTATATATTGTTGATAATATGTGAGGTCCTTTACTGAAACTTAGGGAGTATTTTATTCTGTTCATTGTATGTTGTATTGCCAAAAATAGATAAAATCGGGTCAATACTATCCCTATGTGTTATATACCTAATGTTTAATGTGTGAGTTATACATTTATAAAATTGCTTGAAAATATAATCTCAAGTATACCTCAGAAATGTCAAAATAATTTCCGACTTTCCACAGGCAAAAAGTGTGATACTTTATTAAAATTAAATGAACAAGTTTTCTTAAAAATGTGTGTGGCAATATGAATGAAATTGGTCTGGATATTGGTCCAAACCTTATATCCCTAAAATGATGAATTGTGATTCTCTGGTTGGCGTTTTCACGACATTTTTTTTTTGTTATGAAGACAAAAGCCTTACCTTAAGACCGTTTACAGGCCTAAAAAGTGTTTTCCATCTAATAAAATAAGCATATACGAGATATAATGATCATCATATTAACATGTTTCTTTTTTGGAATCACTATATCTCAGAAAAGGGAGTTCTTAAGAAAAAAGTTTTGGAACATTTTTATTATTAAATTCTATGATTTACAATTTTCGTCTATAGGATACAAATTACCGTTTTGTTGAAAATCGGGGAAAAACCCTGTGATGACCCCCATAATGTTATTAACTTTCCTTTTGCCTAAAAGTCATCAATGCTGCACGTAAATGCCTTTATGGTATATCCTGTGATGCTAGTGTTCCAACATCTGAAGTATTTCCCTAGGGTCCATGGCTTCAAGCAACCCGTGGAGGATAAGGATGGTAGAGGGCAGCTAAGGTGAATTGAATTGTGTTCCAGGCTGCCCCCGAGCGGCCCAACTCGACTGCCTTATCGTTTTGTTCTATTCCTATGTGACTAGGTACCCAGATGATATTTACCGAGTTTCCCATTTAGAGACTAGTATTATAGTATTTGTGTGAGACTTAGTATTGGCGCTACGGATAGCCGCTTGGCTGTGTTTTGCTGAATCTTCTTTTTGCAAATAATAATTGTGTTGTAAATATTTAATAATTTATCAGAAGCCTGAATAAAGCTTGGGAATTGAAGTGTAGTTCTATTATAACTCTATCTAGGGAATACAAATAAAATACCGTGTTTATATCTACAAATTTACACATATTTTTGTAACTTTTCCGTTTATAACATTTTTTTATATAAGAGGTGTTGAAATGCTCTCGAAAATATACCAAAATAATTACATAATTAGGCGCAGCAATGTAACTTTCTAAATGTCAACTAAATAAATAACGCAGTATGTGTTAAACAGACAACTAATACTAAATTAAAATGAATGAAAATGCTAATAAATGGACAAATCAAACAATAAAACGTGTGATCGTCGAAATCGCTGCATTTTTGTATTTAGAAACGCTTCCATTTACTTTGATTGTTGCATTTTCCCCGAATTCCCGATCACTCGGCATTCACTCGATGAATGGCGCATTTTTTGCTGCGCTTATATGTATATTACCGCACAGATAAACAGTTATATACACGAAAGGGCGTGCATATATTAATTATTTAAGTGGTTTATTAAATTATGTAAGTTTTCTTCATCATTTTTGCTGTTGTATCTTGTTAGTACAAGTTATAAAACAGCTGCCGAAGAGCGGCCGACGTTGGCCAAACCGCACGACCTTGATTAGTCTCGCTGCCGCGTGGAGGCGCCTCTGGTTAATTGCGTTGTTGTGCCTTTTGTGTGGCGTTTTCTTTATGCATATTTATCAAGGTACAACATTTGCTGTCCATTGGGATGAGCAGCATGAATGAATCGCCAGTCTCCAGTGTTTTGCGTTCACGTTTGCGAATCGCGGTCATAGTGTCAATGTTAATCTTCAAGTTATGCAAATGAGTGTAAATTTTAAATATATTTAATTTTGGGAAGATGAATAGGAACAGCAAATTGCTTGTGATTTACAAGTTTTGTGCATTCTTGAAGTAAATTGAGTTGAAAAATGTTTTTGGCACACATTTTTATACGAGGCGTGTAACAGACATTGTTTATTGCTAATTGATTGCATATTTACTTACTTGAGTATTATACCCCACACATTTTATTTAACTTTTTTTTTCTTAATTGACGACCATTTAATTTATATTAATAACATACCTTAAAGATTCATCTAAAATCAATCGGACAAAAAAAATTATAAACTAGTGGCTGATCGAAGCCTTTTTAATAAACAAAATGGTTTATGAAAAATCGAAATTAAAAGAAATCCTTCGAACATGTTTCATATTTTCAAAAGGCTACATAAATTTCATTGAAATCTACCGAGCGAAAAATCTTTCAAGCTACAGTGGTCACCAATTCAAAAAACATTGTTTTGAGAAAACTGCATTTATAGTTTTACACGTACGTTCCAGAGCGCCCGATAACTCTTTGCTAATTATCAAATAACTCGAAAAATATTTTTCGGATTCACTTCAAATTTTCAGAGATTATTTCTAAGGTATTATACTTTAAGAAAATTAAAAATCGAATTTTTGATCATTTTAATCTTATATTTTTTTGTGGCGAAATTTTCAGTTCTTTTAGCTATACTAGAAGAAATATTTCATATTTGCTGCTTGCTTAACAATTTTCACACATAGCAGATTTTACATAGTTAAAAACTCTGGAAAATATTTCGGGTAAACTGCTGGTGAACGAGTTTTCTTTGCTGTTTCCTTTTGATTATTTAATAAGTTTAAATTTTAAACAGGTTCAGGTCATAATTATGAGAATTCTCTGGGCAATGGTAAAGTATGGTTATTTATAAGTATTTTCAAATCATATTCTAATTTAAAAATCAAGCATTTTCAAGGTTACACTAAAAGTGTTTGAACAATTCATAAAGTCCAAAGATCTTCGATTAGAAAATTAGTAAGATTTCGACCAAAAATGAGACCTAAAAAACATAGGAACTTCAAAGCAGTTACGGCTCGGATCAATCCGCTCCAGAAGTAATTAACTACTGCGGTGGCTATCTAATGCACTTTCGCTATATTCTAGTTTTCAAAAGTAAGTGAAATCCCTTTGACTATGGTAAAAGAAAAGAGTTTTTAAACCACACAAGAAACTCTTTTCCTGCAGTCAATACTGCAAACAATGTGATTATTTTACCAAACTAAACACAACATAACGACAGGTACAAAAGAAGAGCAGTTCAAAGAAGTTGATCCAAAGTGGTTGGCATTTTTTTACTTTTTAAACCAAAAGTGTTACTAGTGAAAGGTTAGGTTTGGTTAAGAGGGCGTTCCTAAAAGAGATCTCACTTGGACAGCATAGAACACCAGTCCGTTGTGGTACCTACAACTCCTATATAATAAACCATTATACACTTACAAATCGACACAGCACTTTGAGCCTATCACACATTTGATAAGGCGGCTAATGTCAGTTTTGGCTATGTCTTCTGGTTCGCCGAAGGTAAGACCGTTGAGATAGTTTAACCTACGACCAGGCACTCAAACGAGTTGGATGATGAATTAGCTTGATGCTATTTCTAGTAAGGACCGACACTCCTTGACTCGCTTGCGCTTGAGCGTACAGTTACCTCCTTCCCTGAAGAGGTTGCACCTCCTAGCTTTACCTCAACTGCCACCTTAAACAGTTTAAACACCCATGATTTATAGCTAGTTTTAAACAGTTTGAAAACAAGCTACGAAAGCTTGAAAGCATAGAGTATGAAAACCGATATCCTTACAACAATAGCCACTTCAATAATTCACCAATTCCAGACGGAAGTTTATTATTAAGTCATTATTGGTTTTCGTAGAGAACCCTGTACCATCTATACATTTTATTTTACTTAGAGAAGACGGATCATATCCCAAATTCCCTATTTCATGTCGTACACGAAAATGGACACAAAATCTATGATCTATATTTGCAAATGCTGAAAATATGACACTCAATATTAATTACCTGTTTTGTTCTTATTAAAAACGAAATTATTTTATTTTAGACAAAAACTTTTGCGATAACTACTCTTCCCTCTACAAAATTTAAATTTTAAAAAATCTTTGCAAAAGTAGTTAAAAAGAAAAAAATTCAAATCAATATCATTTCATTGCCCTAGAGGGAAGCCGACACGAGTCTCACTCATGTCAAGTAATACCCTAGTTAAATAATTGTATACTCAAAGGCATTTATTTAGCTACAAAAATACGGGTTGCACGCACAAAAGTGAGCGCATATGTCTTGTCACTCTTATGAAACATTTATTTCGTCAATTGCCATCAGTTGCCACAATTGCATTCCACCTAAAATGCACAGACGCTGACGTTGCAACTGTCGCGTAAGCTAATGCTTTGCGTTAGATAAAAACGTAACCGTATACATGGAGGTATATGCACACAGGTATACGCATAAGTTCATGAAAATAATATTAAAAATGGTGCTTTGGCCCAGTTTCTGCTGCAATACGTGGTGGGCTGACTGTTGGTAACCACCTGTTAACTATTTTTTCAAAAATACGTTCAGAGCTTCTAAATTATAGTGGCATAAACTATTTCTAGTTAATAATTTTGATTTTATCGTATTAATATTTAAATATTTAATTTTCTACAAATAAAATAAACTTATTATTCTTTTTTTTTTCTTTCAGCTTCCGCGAGGAGCGGTTTGGCAAACCCTCTTCCTATTATGTGCGGTGCTTTTCATAAATGGTGAGTAAAAAAAATAATATTGGAATGCATTAGGTATCACAATCACCTACATACCTTTTGTCAAGCTTAACTAAGCAATCAGCGGGCTATCCAAGAGAGCATAATCATTACTGTCGTACTGTTAAAAACAATCATAAAGTGCATATGCGACTTCCAACTTTTAAATATATTCTGTTTATTTTTAACCTCTTTTATCGAATCTTGGACCAAAAATACAAAATAGCAATACAAAAGTTAAAATTGAGAATTATTGATCGAAGATGAATAGTTTAGAAATGTCTTACATAAAAGTAGTCCGGGTCAAGTGTGCTCAATTAAGTATTTTAACCTGTTTTGCCTCTTGAGAAAATCTTTGTGTACTAAAATGCCTAACAAATCTGTTGCAAAAATACCAAATTTTCTTATAATCAAAACATTGGATTATATTTCACTTTTTAAAAAATATGTACATACTCGTCAAATATACCTTAGAGATCATTTAAATTTAGCTAAATACACACTCTTCCTTTTCTTCAAGCCAATCGAATATTTTTAAGGTCAGGCAGCATTCATCACAACAAAAAATTGTCCAATTGTGAAAAACTATCTGAGTGGTCGGCAATCATCCATATTGATTTGAGGTCAAAATTTTAAGTTAAGAAGAATTAAACAGGGGGTTCCGCAGGGTGGTGTCCTCTCCCCGCTACTGTTTAACTTCTATATTTCGAGACTCCCTCCACCACCAGAGAGAATTTCCATCATCTCATCTACAGATGATTGTATGATATTGACGTCAGGCAATGGAATCGATGGCATGTGTTCGAAAGTAGCCTGACACTCTCCCCCACTAAATCCATAGCGACCATATAAATGAAATGGACGAAGGAGTACGGACTGGATCTTCATATCACAGTCAATGGCGTTAAAATTCTGACTGTCAAAACCCCTAAGATTTTAGGCGTTACATTTGACAACCTGTGCTCCTTCAATCCATATATAACCGCGTTTAATGCCAAAATACAGAGCTGCAACAAAATCTTCAAGTCGCTAGCCAGCTGCTCCTGGGGAAAGAACAAAGAAACGTTGTCGGCAACATACAAGACAATCGGCCTCAACTACGCTTCAGACGCATCGGGTATTGCACTCCGGTCTATTACAGGATGCCCTTGATGCTGCTGTCGAACGCCGACATAGGGAAGCCTGCATGCTTTTGGTCAAGGAACACAATGCACTGCTGTCCAAACACTTTCTGCTATGGTGATTTCACAGAAACCGTGGTTGAAGTCAAAGCACCATCCATAACAGAAGAAGAGCTCGAGTTTCCCCTGTAATCTAACTAGAAACTAGAACATTATTGGTTACATAAAGTCGTTAATAAACCGACATGGTCTTCATAAGACGAAGTAAATGCCATACAATTTGTCAAATATTGGCAGTCATGCTTTATTAAAAAACAATTTAAAGCTTTGATAAAACACTCTAGACATACGTACATATGTAGTTAAGCTTGCAAAAATGTTCTAAGCCTAGGTAATAGCAGTTACAAAAATAACTACTTGAATCTCTAGTTTGAATAATCTTAATTTTTTTTTAATTTTCAGAGGTCCGTTCAGAAGGCAGAGTCGTTTGCTACTACACCAACTGGAGTGTCTACAGACCAGGCACAGCGAAATTCAATCCACAGAACATCAATCCATATTTGTGTACACATTTGGTGTACGCTTTTGGTGGATTTACAAAAGACAATCAGATGAAACCCTTCGATAAGTACCAGGATGTAGAACAAGGTGAGTAAAAAGATCTTGGAACCACTTATGGCTTAAGTATGAAGAAAATGGTAAATTTTCTTTTTCACGTATATATATTTTTTTGTTTTTTAGAATAAAATATTTTAGTTTTAACCTCCCTAGTATGTGCATATATAACACTACAAACCATGTAGTTATACAAATCCATATTCTACTTAACTCTTTCCAATTGAAATAGCATAGTAAACTCAATTAACACTCCCATTTTTGTTATCTTTTCATGTTTCTGTTGGTGTGTCATCATTCACCCACCATTTCGCATCATCCGTCACTTCACTGAACAGGCGGCTATGCCAAATTCACTGGCTTGAAAACGTACAATAAGCAATTGAAGACCATGATTGCCATCGGTGGCTGGAATGAGGCCTCATCACGTTTCTCGCCGCTTATGGCCAACCCGGAGCGACGACAGCAATTCATTAAAAATATTTTGAAATTTCTACGTCAAAATCATTTTGATGGCATCGATTTGGATTGGGAGTATCCGGCACAGCGTGAGGGCGGCAAGCCGCGCGACCGCGATAATTATGCGCAGTTTGTGCAAGAGGTGCGCGCCGAATTCGAACGTGAGTCACAGAAGACCGGACGTCCACGTCTGCTGCTGACAATGGCTGTACCAGCAGGCATTGAGAACATCGAGAAGGGTTACGATATACCCAAACTGAACAAGTACCTTGACTGGTTCAATGTGCTCTCGTATGATTTTCATTCATCGCACGAACCATCGGCTAATCACCATGCTCCATTGTACTCACTGGAGGAAGAGTCCGAGTACAATTATGATGCAGAATTGAATATTGTAAGCATATTGAAGTTGTTGGCGGTTGAAGTAATTGAAATTTTGATTGAAATGATTTACTTTTATTTCTTCTCTTTCGGCTCGCTCCTGCTATTAGGATTATTCCATCAAATATTATTTGAAAGCTGGCGCTGACCGCGACAAGTTGGTGCTGGGCATACCAACATACGGACGTTCGTATACACTGATTAATGAGGAGAGCACAGAAATTGGCGCACCGTCAGAGGGACCGGGTGAACAGGGCGATGCTACACGTGAAAAGGGCTATTTAGCCTACTATGAGGTGAGTGGTTTGAAGAAAATTGCACTCAGAAATAAGTAAGCAAATGAATGCTCCAAAAAGAAGAAAATTTTAAAAGGAATTGATTAGTCACTCAGGCAAATAAATTCCTAAATTTTCAGACTTATGAGTTTTAACAAATTCACCTATTTTCCACATTACAGATATGCCAAAATCTGAAAGAGGACCCTGAGTGGACCGTAGTACAACCAAATCCTAATGCAATGGGCCCATACGCCTACAGACGTAATCAATGGGTTGGTTATGATGATGAAGCCATTGTGCGTAAGAAAGCGCAGTATGTGGTCGAACATGGCTTAGGTGGTATTATGTTTTGGGCCATCGATAACGATGACTTCCGCGGCACTTGCAATGGAAAACCCTATCCATTGATAGAAGCAGCTAAGGATGCTATGCTCGAGGGCTTGGGGTATAATTTTGCATATTTTTAAAATGTTCGCCTATTTTTAAATCACTTATAATTATTTTCACACAGGCTTGGCATCAACGAAGTTGCTAAACCGAATGCGCCCAAGAAGCCTTCACGTTCACGCAGTCGTGAGAATTCGTCATCGAAATTAAATCGTATTAGTGGCAGCAGCGAGGGTAAGGGATCTGCGAGTCGTACGACTTCGAGTAGTGGGCGCCGTCGTTTACAATCCACCACAACAACAACAACACAAGTGCCCGAAACTACGATAAAATTGACTAATCCAGAAGGCTCTTCATTGTATATTGGCGGCCGCGTGACAACACCAGCACCACCTACCACGCCTGACCCGGGAACTGGTGAGTGCCTACGTAAAACACACTTTGAAATATATTTTAAACAATTCTTCTTTCAACTTTCGTAGACTTCAAATGCGAAGAAGAAGGGTTCTTCCAACATCCACGTGACTGTAAGAAATACTATTGGTGCTTAGATAGCGGTCCGTCTGGTTTGGGCATTGTGGGCCATCAGTTCACTTGCCCATCGGGACTGTATTTCAACCCGGCCGCAGACTCGTGTGACTTTGCGCGTAATGTGCCCTGCAAAACGAAGAAGTAAGTGTCCATATTTTCCGTTTTTTTTTACATACTCTATTATAATTTTCCATTTTTTAGAGCTACAACCGCTGCACCTGTAAGCAGCACAACGACGACAACCACTACACCACGTCCTACAGCTTCCCTCAATCGTATTTCGGCTGCCACTTCGCGCACATCTTTCTTTAGAACCACCACTACAACTACATCAGCTCCAGAGGAGTACGAAGAAGAAGAGGAGGAGGAGGTGGAGGATGTACCAACACATACTAAAGATAGAGATGCTGAAGAAGATCCACAGGTTATAAAAGAACTCATTGAACTCATACGCAAAGTGGGTGGTCTTGAAGAGTTAGAAAAGCACTTGCAACGGAAAGATGATGGCACAATATCGATTAAAGGCGGCTCGAGTGAATCAGGTGTGGCTACAACGCCAACGCCGATTAGTAAAAATCTTTACGACAAAGTGCTTAGCAAACCTAACACCTTCAACTCGTTCCGCAATCGCTTTTCCTCATCATCACTATTTAGAAAATCTGGCCAAGCGAAAACGGAAGAGTCGACTAGTAGTAAATTAGAAAGCGAGGAATCACAGTCTAGTGAAGGTGCCAGCAGCAGCGGCTACTCCAAATACTCGTCTGTCGTGCGCGGTAACAGCAGGCAGGGTCCGCAAAATGAGGGACTTGATAAGTTGTCCGAGTTCGATGGTTTTCTGAAAGAAAAGAAACAATATGTGACAATAAACAGGCATAGAGGTGCATTTAGAGGACAAGATGATGAAGATGAAGTAGAGGAAAAGCAAACTGTTGAAGATGATACCGAAGAAGAGGAATTGAGTAGTAGAAGCAAAACCACAAAGCGGCCAACCAACACAGTCACACCTTCGTATGCCAGCATAAAACGCACCAGACTAACAACTATTCGTACTGAATCAGATGAAGACGCTGAAGGAAGTGACGAAGAGGCTAAAACTGTAAAAGAGAGTGAAGACAAGCGTACCTACACATCACTAAATCGGAATCGCGGTAGGTTTACCACCACTAAAAGCAACCAGCCAGCAGAGGAAGTTGTAACTAATTCAAATAGGTAAGAAATTTTTTAATACAAACAAAGGGTCTTTTAAACTTTTCATTCAATTGTTGGTCAACCCAAAAGTTATGGAACGTACTAATCATTGATTGGTTTTATTCCCGTAGTTTAGAAGACACAAGAATACACTGAAATTATATATATATTGATCTAATACAAGTATAAACTGAGTAGTAAGTAAGTAAGTTTTAGAGGGTTCGAGAGAGTAAAAAGATGATCTTAATCTAATAATTTTTCATCATGGAGCCTCTCAGAGCTTTGAAATATTTCCAATTAATTTATTAACCTTGGTTTTTTAAAACTCTGGTAATTACGGCACAACAGGGCTTTTACCAATATTTCCGATTGTCTTACAGGAGAGTAATTACAAGTAGTACTCGGCGTCTATGAGTCGTTGGGTTAAATAGCGACAGTCGGACGGTCATTAGTCTACTATACTCTAAATATAAATCTACATGAAAAACTTCATTACAAATTTTTCGGACCCGATTTTAATCGGACTTAAAACCACTACAATTGAGGAAGAGATAGTTCACATATCTACCCGATATGAAAAACCTTTTAGACTGCTTTAATACAATAAGATGTCTCTTTCCTTAGATAACATAAGACTTCCATCACAAAACTGTACTGAACTACGCAATTTCGTTACACAATTTTCTAATCCTCACCTCTAATTCTAAATATTTTATTTTTTTAACGTTTACATCGGAGCTGGGTCTCTTTCATCGCAGTATACATATATCTTTTTGTATCGTTATTTAATAAATTAAAATTTTCAAACTCTTTTCACTTTTAGGTATAAATATCTGGAGCGTACGCGTCCCACAAACAGGCTTCAGACATCGGCCAGCAGTCAAGATGACGACGAGGAGGATCAAGAGGATGAACAAAATGTAACGGTACAATTAAATGGGGCTGCAATAGATTCCACACAAAAATCAACACAAACCACAACACGCATCTATGCGAATATAGGTCGTCGTACCACAACAACAGAGACTCCAACCACCACCCAAGAAACACCAACCAGATACAATTTATTAGAGAACATTTTTAGTAACAACGAAACACCTGAACCAATTTTACCAACTACTACTACCTCTATAACAACCGCAAATGACTCACACGCCCTATCCATAACCATTAAAAATACTAATCCCCAATTCATACCCATTACCACGAAACAAACCATTGCCACCACATCCCAACCCATTATTTCCACAACAATTGCAGCCGCTACTACAACAACATCAAATGATATTGAACTAACCGATACCAAATCCACCATTACTACACTCCCACCAAACTTTGAGTCTGACTCAAAGGATGCCTTAGACCTTTCGCTAGATGTGAATTCCCTTATTGAAAAAACTGCCTTAAGTCCCAACGAAAGTCCAAAGGATATAGAATTCGCTGAGACTACAACGGCTAGAACAACGAAAACTCCAACAACGACCGAAACACTGACAAGCACTGCTACTACAGTCACCTCAACTGACACTGACTCAACCTCCAACGGCGATGAGGTAACGAATTTAAGTAATAATCGCACAAAGACACAATATAAATTTATAACAAGAACACGAAATGTTACTAAAGCAACAACAACAAACACTGACATAGACACTGAAAATGAAAGTGAAAACAACAAAATTTTCGAAGAAACCAAAAAACCTAGTCTAAAAACGGGTAGTAGTAGTAGTACTGATGATAAGCTAAGTAGTAATATTAGAGGTAATACCTTTAAATACTCTGGTGGTAGAAGACAACAACAAACAAACGAGTTACTAACTCGTAAAAATCAAATACAAAATCAACAGATAGATTCCACAACGGATTCCACAAACAGCATAACAACCACCGAATCTACACCCACTAATGAATTCCTGGGAACCATATCTAGCCCTAGACCCTTCGGTTATCCCAGGCGTCGTACGCGCCCGAATAATATCAATCCAACCAACAATGCTGATGTACAAACTACTACTACCGAGAGTTCAGAAGATGAACAAAGCATAATTAAGTCGAGGTTAACGGCGACAAGTGCCTCCAAAAATAAGGTGAGTTCCAATTCAGATGTGTTGCAAGTACAAACCGGATTGGAAACAAACGATGATGAGGGCAGCACTACGCACACCCTTACACAAATGAAATTGCACACACACACGCATGTAGTAGATGTAGTAGACGGTATTAGTGGTGTAAATACAAATAATAGTCTAAGGCATGTTGTAGATAGAAACCATAGCTTAAGTATAAACAATACACTTTCAGCACAAGAAAAGAGTGACAGTCGAGCGAATATCGCCTCCGCTGAGACCCTAAAAAGCGAGCTCGAAAGCAAACGCGAACAATTAGCTAATACAGTGTCAGAAAACAAAAGTAGGGATAGTGTAACGCAGCTAAACACTTTGACGACAAATACCAAAGACGAGACGCAGAAGACAAGTAAGTATCGCGGCAAAAGTTTGACAACCGAGACCGGGTCAGCGTCGGCTCTAAATGGTATTTCTGCAACGACAGCTGACACGACGAATTTCCGTAGTCGTGGCTTGAAAATGGTAAGCGAAGAAAAAGAAGAGCTGAAAGGCCTCGAAGCTGGCAACGAGTCGGTTAGTACCGCCGAAAGCAGCGCTACTAATCACACGACCTCGACATACACAACAGTCGTTAGAGACAACGGTAAACAAAACACAACTTCGACTGTGACCATGCATGCCAACGAAACCACCATAACCGACGAGGGTAACGGTTTGGTAAAAATTCAAACAGTCTATACGACAATCACAAATACTGACGCTGTTGGTACGGAACAACATAAAACAAGCGCTGACGATCAATCAACGCAAAATAGTAATGGAAATGTTGTGAATAACAGCAAAACTGGCAAAACCTACGCCACTATCAACAGAGGAAACGCGCAAACGCACGAAACGAAGCTAGACGTAAGCTATACTGCATCCAACGAGGATTTGGGCACTAAAAATACCACCACTGTCAAAACTCTGGGCGATGGCAGCATCGTGCGTACAACAGTCTATACCACGAGAACGAAAGATAGCAACGGTAAAATCATCACCACAATAGTTGAAGAAACCATAACCACGCGCACGAAAATCGAAAACTATGAAGACAGTAACAATTACGAGGGTGGTGATCGCAAATATCAAACCATAACGCGTCGCACTGATCACACGCATGATCCCACTATCGAGACAATACATTACAACACTATTATGCGCGATAGCGACGGCGTAAAACTAAACGAGGACCAAACATCCTCTTTCTACCGAAATCTCGAAGAAGTTGCAAAGCAAGCGGAACAGAGTCGCAGTCGCATATACCAGGGTATATCACGTGGTGGCAAAATCACGCAAACGGCGAACGAAAGCGATGCAACCAGTGGAGTGGTAGAAAGTGAAGATAGCAGGTCGGTCGAAAAAAGCGAAACGCACTCGACTGAACGTGGCTCAAGTAAGTATCATACAATAAATCGAGGGCATACGGTAAGTGACTTCCATGCAAGTACTGAGATATCGAATCAGCGCGAAAACAGTCGTTTCACGGACAAAAGAAGTAAGAATGCGAGTGGTGGTTACGTTAGCACAAGTCTTTCGCAGGAAAAGATATCGGGATTGAAAATAACTGAAGACAAAAATGAAAGATCAACATCAAATAAAAATAGCATCGATAAGAATGCTAAGTTCTCTGGCGCTTCCGTTGATGGTTCGTTGGAAGTGGAAAATACGGCCGCCGAGATTACTGATGAGGAAAAGCACGCAACTACGCCACGGTTGGCAAAAACTACCACCGAAAGTTACATCACGACAACTGTTGAGGTAAGCACTTCGCTACCAGAAGTTGATGAAACTACTATAACACCCGCCGAGTTATCAGTAACTACAGTTGTCCCCGATATTAAGGAAACTACATTGTCAACTTCCTCCCAAACTGAACTTTCATCTCACAAGGAAACTTTTGCACATCACAGAGGTATAGCCTCATATTCCGCTGTAAAGTCCGAAGATACGTCAAATGAGACCGCAAGAAAAACTAGTGTTCGACCTACTATAACCAAAACTTCTGCTGAAACCGATGCAGCTGTTAAAAAGAAAATCACGACTCGTCACAAAGTTAAAACAGCTTCGGAAAATATAGAGATAAAATCCACTGAAGTAAGGTCCAAAGTCCGTGGCAGACCAACTACAACACCTGTTCCACAAACTACTTCACAATCGGAAATTGAAGAAACTACAGTAGCAACTACTGAAACGAGTTTGAAAGTTCGTGGTACCCTAACTACAACCGCAGTTCCAGAAACTACGACCCACTCAGAAATTGAGGAAACTATAGTAAGATCAACTGAAGCGAGTCCCAAAGTACGTGGTAGACCGACTACAACTGCAGTTTCAGAAACTACCGCCCACTCAGAAATTGAAGAAACCACAGTAGCAACGACTAAAACGATTTTAAAAGTTCCTGGTAACCCAACTACAACTGCAGTTCCAGAAACTACTACTCACCTAGAAATTAAGGAAACCATAGTAGTTTCAACTCAAGCGAGTCCCAAAGTACGTGGAAAATCGAGTACAACTGCAGTTCCAGAAACTACCGTTCACCCAGAAATTGAAGAGACCACAGTAACGTCTTCACTTACAACTGCTGCTCCCGAAACCACTTCCCAATTAATGATTGAAGAGACCACTGTAGCTGTTACAAACACGGTAAAAACTGAGCCCAAAGATAGCACTAAAGTTACTGTTATAGAAAACACATCAGCTCCAGAAACAACAACATCGATCCCTTCTGAAACCGAAACAACTGCTTTTCCAGAAACGACCATTTCCAGTGCTTCCATCAACAAAATATTATCATCCCGTCACAAAGTTCTGGCATCTTCTGAGATCACAGAAAGGCACACAAGTGATACTAATTTCAAAGTAAGAAGCAAACCAACTAAAATATCTTCTGGAGAAACTACCGAAGAAATCACAACATCATCTGAAACCGATGCAACTTCAAAACGGACTATACTGCGTCACGGAGTTAGTGGATCCACAAAATATACGGATAATGATTCTACTGAAACATTACACAAAGTTCGCAGCAGACCAATTACAACTGTTGGTCCAGAAATCACAGTAGCAAAGTCTTCACAAACGGATAATACTGCGTATAGAAGAAACATTACACGACACAGAACCTCCGATAAAATAGAAGAGAGTTCAACAGACAGTAAATCCAAAGGACGTAGTAGACCGACTACAACTATTTCTCCGGAAACCACAATATTATCTTCTTCAGTAACTGATACTAACGCGAATAGAAGAAACGGTATTCGACACAAAACAGCCACATCTTTCCAGAAAACAGAAGAGAATTCAATAGAAACGAAATTCAAAGTACGTAGCAGACCAACTATAACGACCGCTAACTCGGAGACTGAGGAAATTACTTTGTCAGCTTTGTCTGAAAGTAATACCGCTACCAATAAAAAAACATTTACACGTCAAAGAGTTGGAACAACCGCTGAAACTATAGAAGAAAGCTCAACTGCGATAAAATCGAAGGTACGTGGCAGACCAACTACAACAGCGCCACCAGAAACAACTGTCATTCAGGAAGAAACCATTACATCGCCAGCAACTCATTCTACTATAAGAGCATCAAAAACTCCTGCTACTCCAGCAACCACAATTATACCAGAAATAAGTGAAACTACTGTCACAGTTTTTGCAGAGTCTTTGAGATCAGACACAACTGACACAACATCAGAAGAACCGAAAACCGAAGCCAAATTGAGTGCAACAGATTCACCAATAACCACTTTTGCACCGGAAATAAGTGAAACAAGTACATTATCCTCAAATGAAGCAGTTACAGACCCTACAGAGGATATAAGCAAATTAAAATTTATTACTGATACACCAGCTGTCACCGAATCTAGTACGTTTGTCATTTCGGCCGAAACAACTACAACTCCTGTACCAACGAGTACATTTGCGCCAATACAGACTGCAACTCCGACTACTGGGGAAACTGAGCAACCTACACCGCAAAATATAGGAATTAGAACTGCTCAGAAAAATTTCAAAGAAAGTAATTACTCTTCTACGAAAGCAAAAGTCAGTACTAAAGAAAAGGAAGCGACCACAGAAAATGTTGACACACAAGTTTATGGAAGTAAAGGTCGTGCACAGACCACACGTGGATATATATTAAAAAATAGTGATCAGGTCTCAACATCGTCCATTGACGCTACATTGAATCGTAAGACAACAAGTCATACTTATAGCGCAAACGAAAAATCATCAACTACCATACATTCAAGCAGGAGAGAAGAGAATGAAGACGGTGAAACCAAATCCACAACTGAAACACCACAGCGACGCACGACCTATCGAGGTACCTACCGGCCTCACATGGACAAAGACGATTTATCCTCATTATTGGCGCTTGATGTTAAGAAGCAGCGACCTTACAACGAGAGTCAATATAACCTCGGTAAACGTATATACTTGGATGGAATTTACAAAGGGGAAGAAAGTAGTGCATCATCAAGCGAGCGAAATTCCTTTCAAACCGTTGGCTCACAGCTAGAAAACATTAAGACTGACGTACGTGAGGGATCTATTAAAATTGGCGCTGGTGGTGCTGTAACTCAAGATTTATCGACAAGAACTACGACCGTAAATAATGGAAATGAAACAAGCTCCAATCATCGAAGAGCAACGGTTATTAGAAGAAGAATCAGTGGCTTTCGAAATGCTACCAGAAATAGTAATGAGGCCGTGGCAGCTAAGTTGGCTGCAGGCTCCGCTGGAATAAAAACAGTTGAAGGTGTTGGAGAAAATGGAAGAATTAGTACCACGTTGACATCCACGCAGCAGAAAACTAAGACACTGTTACATAATAATGCAGAGAATGTAAATGAAAGCGATTCCGATAATAAACACGCTGCTGTAAAGATAACGAACTTAAAAAGTCTAGGGTCAGCAACAGTAGGCGCTCTCGAAGACAGTTCTACATACGAAGATGAGTCTACCTCAAGTAACAGTAAGAAACTAGAAGCAGATGTTGCTGTTCTCGATAGTGAAAATATAGCAAGTGATGCCTTCAAGAGTGAAACGACCAATACCGGCCTCTCAACAACATACACCTTGAGTAGAATTAAGGGTAGCTCAGCTGCAGGCGGTGAAGCAGATGACAACGTCAGTTTTTCAAGTAACACTGCAAATTTAAGTGAACGCAGTACGATTGCCGATAATACAAAATCCAATAGAATATCGGACAGTACTGCCATATCATCTAACGGTATTGTAACAAGCCATGTTAATGAAAGTTCGGCAACGAATTCTAGACGACTTAGCTTATTAGCCGAAAACAGGAAGTTTTTGAAGACGGAATCTAATGGAGCATCTACTGATCACAGCGTAAACGAAGAGGAGAATTCTGCGCAAGTTTCTGAGACAACAACAACCAAGATGAGTGATCTCGACAAGGTTGTCACTCAAGGCATGGTTGGCGATGAGGGTGCAGTTAAAACAGATGAATCAAATGCTAAAGAGTTGTCGAGGAGCCGTAGTACATCCTTTAGATCAGGAAGTGGTCGCGCCGGATATAGGGGCCGCGCACAGTATTATAATCAAGGTAGTAGCAGAAATGTGAATCGGTTAAGCGGTGCCGATACACATTCATCAAAAATCGAGTATGATGAAAGTGGCAATACCAAAACTCAAACCACTTATACACAAACTTATAATAACGGTCCCAATACGCAGAAACCCGTTAAACGTGTGCACACAAAGACCGTACAAAAAGTGGAACCAGAGTATGAGTACATATACGAGGTTATAACTGAGAAAATCCCACCAAGTACACCACGCCCAGTAACACGTAATCGTGGTGGCGTACGCTTCCGTGACACTGATTTGTCGTCCTTACTCTCACTAGATTTTGCAGCCAAGTCGAAACGAAGACAAGAAGGTGAAAAGACAATCGTTAAAACCAGAAGAAAATTAATAAAAAAGCCAGCGACTATAACTGAAAGTGAACATGTTGAAGAATATGAATACGAAGAACAGCTAGCAGAACGACAAGCCGCAACTAGACCAACGCGTCCAACCGCAACTGAAGCCAGTACAATTATACGACGTACAAGACCCACAAGACCATTGCGCTCAACCACGTCAACAACGCAACGAATTACAGATGCTGAAGAGAAGGAAGTAGCGCAACTGAAGACAACAACTGCGTCACCAAAACCGACAACCAAAAAAGGATTTGCTTTTAAAAAGCCAATCTCCAAACTGACTTCAAAAACTGCAACAACTGAGGAACCGCCTGCCGAGGAACCCCTAACTACTACTACTGAAGCAACTATACAAACAACTAGAAAGGGTTTAGCATTTAAACGACCAGTTTCAACAATAAAAACCACCGAAGCTCCAGCTACAACTACAACAGATGCGAGTACTGAAGCTACCGTAGCTACACCGCGACCAGGTTCACGTCGGAAAATCATAAAAGTACAACGTCCTCTGAGTAAAACAAAATTTGAAGAAGTCGTTAATGTGCAGGAAGCAGTTGTGAAGCAAGCTAAGGTCGTGACTAGTTCACAGGAGAGCTCAGCAACGATAATTACGACAAAAGCGCCCACAACGACAACTACTACTGAAGAACCCGTAACTACCACTACCTCTACAACTAAAGATCCGCCTAAAACTTCCACAACTGAGGAAGCTCCCATAATAACAACCACAACACAGACTGTTGAGGTTGCCGACGATTCATTGGATGTACTCAAAAAGGAGTTCTCTAACGCAGTTACCAAGCTCCGACACAATGTCGATGAAACTGTAAACGGACATACCACCGTTCCAACCAAAACCACGACAACCACAAACACAGCTAATGGTGAAACTAAAACCTTTACAAAAACTGAAAATAAGGTTACTGAACACAACTCCGTGTCTGATTTAAATGACGAACTGAACGTTGCTGGTGAAGATGTTTCGCTCTCATTACCTATATATCATCGCAGAAAGTACTATCAATATTATAAAGACTCGCCAATAATTTATATAGGGAAGCCACAACCACCAACATCAGCAGAAACCAGCAGCGTCGATATTAAGAAACAAATACACGAAGTCTTCAACATAAGTAACGAAGGCAACACAACGTTCGGTTCTGGAGAACTGGACAACAATAGCACAGATGTGGCATTTGTCACGGTAGACAATAATAACACAGATAATTTTTTATTGAAAACCCCCGGGTCAAAGTAGATGGGCACCTGGGGGCAAAATCAATCGGTACAAAATTTACAACATCTGGAGAAGAAATAATCGATGACCAAAACGCAAAAGCCGAATTAGAACAGTTATTTGCAGTGAAAAATACGCAAACGACAACAAACATAGCGGCTAAGAAATACACTACCGACACGAAGGATGAAAGCAGCAACAATAATCGTGTTGGCAAAACTTTTAGAGAACCAATCTCCACAATCACAAAACTTTCGGCCCTTAAACCCGACTTAGATTCTGCCTTAAATTATCTCACTACAGAAACAACAATCGACAAGGAAACAACCACCGTAAAAATAACTCTACTGCCACAAGACATAAAGCAACGGTACGAAGACGCACGCGTTTTACGCAAATATGTAACATTAAATCGCCTGCGTACCACAACAGAAGCATCTCCGGCTAATGAAATCACAGCAAGCAAAGATACCAAAACGAAGCGTGTCTACGATACGCTCAATCGAAACAAAACTGAGCAATTGACAAACAACTTAATAAATGAAGAAATCAAAGAACAATCAGCAATTAGCAAAGAAGACTTAGGCAGCTCTTCCGGTCTACGCACTTTCAATAAATTTAGTAAACCCTCAACACGTCTTACAGCGAAGAGACCATTATCCGATAATTTGAATGATGAAATCGTTACTAACCATAGTGCTTCGGGGATTGAGGTAACAAGTGATCCCATTGAGGGTACAACACGACGCTCTTTAATTGCATTTAACCGACCGAAGTTTGGAACTACAACTGTTAAGACTATAGAAGAACCAGACGAAAGTGATTATAGCGATGATGTGAGTTCCATACCTACAGCGGCCGAAACTACAACTAGTGCTTCTCTGATAAAAACGACGCGACGACCTCTAAATGCCTTTTCCAATTCGAGATTTAGAACGACTACGTCTAAAAATACAGACGTAGTTGCTGAAGATGAGGACAGCGAGCAGACAACTGCCTCGATTGGTAGCACAACAAGCGATCCTCTGGATAAAACTACGCGACAACGACTAAATAGTATCAACAGTTCCAAATTTAGAACTACGACAGTTAAAGCCACCGAAGGAGAAGCCGGGGATGAGGAAGCTCAATCTTCAATTGAAAATTCAACCACGGAACCACAAGAAAAAACTGCTAGACGACCTCTAAATAATATCGACAGTTCCAAATTTAGAGCTACAACTGTTAAAACTACAAAGGATGATAACCATAATGAAGAATTGGATGAGACGACAGTTTTAGTTCCCAGCACAGCGAGTGAATCGCTGGAAAAATCTACTCAACGACCTCTAAATAGTATCAGTAGTTCCACGTTTAGAACCACAACTGCTGCAACTCCAGTTAAGGATAATGATAGTGAAGAAAGTAATAGTCAGGAGGTGGTATATGCTTCAATTGAAAGTACAACAAATGAACTTCAGGAACAAACCACTCTACGTCCTCTAAATAGTATTAACAGTTCCAGTTTTAGAACTAAAACAAGTAAAATCCCAATGGAAGAAGTCGAAGACGAAGAAATGGATGAGATGACCGCTTCAGTTGATAGCAAAACAAGCGAAAACAGACCTCGAAGACCTTTAAGTAGTATTAACAGTTCCGATTTTAGAACTACAACTGTTAAAACTGCCGTAGAAAAGAATGAGGTAGAGGAAAATGTCAGTGTGGATGAGACAGCTAAATCAACTGAAAACACTACAAGTGAATCTCGACAAAAAACAAGTCGACGACCTCTAAATGGTGGCTCAAGGTTTACAGCGACTACATCTAAAACTGCTGATGAGAATAAAGGAAGTAATAGCGCGAAAGAAACAGATACTTCAATTGAAATCACAACAAGCGAACCTCTGGCAAAAACTACACGCCGTACTTTTATCAATAGCTCAAGATTTAGAACAACAGCTGTTTATTCCACCGATAAAGAAGCAGAAAGTGAGGAAAGTAGCTCCCGATTTAGAACCTCAACTGTAAAATCAAAAGGTAGTAATGAAGGGGAAGATACTGGTCCAAGCACGCTTGAGAGTTTGATAGATACCACGACAAGAAAACCGCTGGATGCAACAAATCGACTGTCATACAAGGGCATTAATAGGCTGAAATTCAGAACCACTACCGCTCAGACTGTGGATGAACTGGACGAAAACAGTGAAGACGAAATCGTTAAAGATGAAACAGTCACCACCACACGTCGTCCTTTGATTGCCTTAAACAGATTTGAAACCTCAACAGAAGCCTCTATAAAAGATCAAAATATCGACATTGTGCAGGAAGTAACTACAATAAAAGATATAACGCAGCGACCCTATGCGACTTTGAATAGGTTAACCGTAAAAACTGCCACACGGGACGAAGAAAGCTCAAGCGAACAAACGGTCGAGGATGTAACCAGCACAACAAAAGTTGATACACTTAATACAACCACTGGCACAAAACGTATATATGCGGCATTGAACCGTAAGACTTTCGTAACTAAACCACCAGTGGTTATCTCGGACGCTGTAGATACGATGAGCTTCGAAAGTTCAACCTTAAATCGCATTAGTACAACAAGTTCAGAAGAGGTAACGCCGAAGGAAACTGAGGCGACTATAAGTACGGAAAAGAGCTCCAACATAGTACTTGAAAGAGATGAGTCGGAGCAGTCTGAGGAGAGCACAACTGAAACTGTAACCGATAGTGACAACAACAGCACCGCCGGCAGCGTTGAAATCACCAACGGAAGTACAACAGTGAATGAGGATGATAATGCAGCAACGCGTCGTCCAGTTCTGGTAAGAAAGCGTATTTACGTAACAACTACTACAAAGGCGCCAAGTGAAGAAACCACTACTGAAGAAAGCATATACCCAACTACGGAAAGTACTGATCGGCGTACTGTAATTCTGAGAAAACGTGTACAGAGCACCACAAAGCAAGCATCAACCACTGAGATTGCTACTGAAGAAGCGAACAATACGACGACTGAAAAAGACGCAGCGCATAAAGCTACACGCATTCCTTTGCTGATACGTAGACGATTGAATGCGACGGGCACGACCACAACAGAAACGTCGAACCCAATCGATGAAGCGTCTACGAATGCCGAAACTACAACGCGTCGTTCATTTGCTGGTTTTAACCGACAGCGCTTAAGTACACAGTTGCCAGCGGAATCACTTACAAATGTAGATGACTCTGAGTCGACAAGAACTGAACCTTCAACCTCTTCGAAGAAGATCGCATTTGGACAGACAAATCGACATCGTGCATTCTTGCTGTCGACAACCGAGACGTTAACGGCTACCACAAAGGAGATTAATAGTGAAAATGCACTTGTAACGGAGTCAAAAGAGCGAATCTCTGATACTACAAGCATTGAAAACCTGCAGTCAACACCGGCTACAGTTACGGATGTTACAGCAAAACGCAGTTTCAATAATTTGAATCGCTTCCGTACTACTACAGAAGCGATAAACAAATTGTCGTCGACGGAAGAGACCAACGAAGCTTCAATTGATTCAACCACGCGTCGTACGTTCGGCTTTAATCGTGAGAAAACGACCACAGTGACACCTGCCAAAAGCACAGCAGATTTGACCACTCCGCGCACTTTCAATGTTTTTGCGCAAAATACACGGCCAACTACAACAAAACGACCACTACTACCAACCATCAATCGAAGCCTCTATCAAAGGGCTGAAGAAGTAGATGATAACGAGTACAGCGACGACTATGTAGAGCCGCTAAGACCAAGCAAACCGGCATACCAGCGGCCACAGTTCATCACAAGCGAACGCCCACGACTGCAAGCTGTCACGCGCCGTCCATATAAGCTACCAGGCGTCGCAGATAAAGAATATTATGATGAATATGAGGACCGTGATGATGAGTATGATGAAAACTCAGCAGAAAATAGTACACCAAGTCGCGTACCATTTGGCCGCTCGCAAGCCAAACAACCTACGACCGAACTACAGTATAGCCTGCAAAACTTGAGAGACCGCATTAAGTTAAGTCAAACACGTGACGAAAATAACGAAGGCGTCATAAACTCAAGACTGCAGCTGCTTGCAGCCAATAGGGCCAAGACCACTGCAAGACCAACAGGAACCGACGCCGACGAACAAGACGAACATATTGGTGACATAGACTCAAACGCTGAGCGCAACAGCAACGCGCTTAATGTAAAAAATATCATAGTCAGTTTGTTCGCAAATCGTTTTAATACTAACCGTACCAGCACTGTAGCTAACACTTTAAGTGAAACTAAAATTAATTTAAGTCTTAAGTCTAACAGCACACGAATAACCGATGATGTGAGTAGTCATGTAGATAATGAAGCAAGACGTGAGGCTGATAAGCAGTTTGATAATGTTGATAATGATGATCATGATAATGATGATGATATTGTAGTACCAAGCACTAATGATAAGGGTAATGAAGTTAATTCTAAACGACGTTTTCAGAAATATCAATTCAACCGCGCAAGATTCACAACAACAACGACTACTGCTACTGTAGCGCCAATCACAACAACGTCGACGACGCGTGCCGCTATTAACCAATTTACGCCCAAACAATTATACCAGTCGAACAGAAATAGAACAGCAACAAGAACAAATCAGGTAAATGCGTTAGTAGATGATAAAGGTGATGATGATGATGTTGATGATGATGATGAAGATGGGGATTATAACGAAGGTGATGTTGAAGGTGAAGCTAATGAAGACAGCACAATCACAGCCACCGTAAGCACGTTGACCACTAGTCCACCTCCCACACTGAGACGTATACGGGTGTTAAAGTACCGTCGCCCAGTTGGCGGCATTAGCAATGCTACCTTAATTAGTTCTAGCGTTAATGATAGTAGTAATTCTGCAATTTCTAGTGTTACTAATACTACCAACACCGTTAGTGAAAGTTTAGATACACCCAAGTCGTCCGAACAGCAAGTAGAACGTACTAAATTAGCACCCTTGAATTCCATAGACTCTAATACACAAGAAACCCAAAGTGAAAGTCCTGTAAGTACAGAAAAAGTGCCAACAAAACGCTTCCGCAAGGTTATACGCAAGTTAATACGACCGTTGAATCGTACAACCGAAGCAACACTGTCGAGTGAAACTAAAGTAGATACTGAGGTTACAACCAAAACAACTCTTACAGGTGCGTCACATATTAATAGTACGCGCACGAACTTATTTGGCAAAACCAATCGTACGCGCTTCGGTAAGGGCGCGATTTCTGGAAGTACAGAAAAACAATCTGAAACCGATGGGGATGACAGGGCAACCGACACCGAAATCGAAGCGCAGACAGATTCTGAAGCCGTTACCAGGACTGTAACAACACAAAAGCCACGCGCTGGCTTGGTACGACCGAAAGCTAAGGACACCACGACTGTTACAAGTGGCATTCCGCTGCCGACGCGACGTCCGTTTGTGTATTCGCGCGCGAGTAGCACAACAAAGGCGGCTGCTGAAAACGGAGAAAGTGATCAGGAAGATGAAAATGAAAATGAGGACGGAGATGAAGAAGATGCTGGCGAAGAAGAAGATTATGATGAAGATGTAGATGGTACGTCAACACCATTAGTGGAGCAAGAGAAAGAAAGAGGGAGCGAACAACGTAATGTAATAAAAGCGTCTGAATCGACCGATAATAACGGTGTTGAGCAAACACTGCCACCACGACCAATTTCAGCAACCACACGTTTGAAAAAACTGCTGCCAGATGTCAGTGCAACAACTGCAATAATCACAAATGAACTTGAAGAGAGCACGAATGCCGACAGCAACACCAACGTGACGCCAACAAAAAATACACTACCCATAACCAGACGTCCTTTCGGTTTACTTGCACGTACCAAAACCACACAAAGTGAAATTGAAACGGAGAGTAACACTGAGGAACAGGATACGGTCGATATAGCAACCACTACTATACCGAGACGTCCCTACAGTATAGGGTCACGCTTGAAAGCCACACAAAATGAAAGTGAAAGCCATGGTGAAGACCAAAACAATGTTGAAGTGACAACGACCTCCATACCGAAACGTACATTTGGACTTGGCGCACAGACAAAGTTAAAACTAAATGAAACTGAAAATGGTACCCAAGAAGACGAACATGAAGAAGTCACAACGAAGAGCACGCCGCTGGTTCGGCCAACATACCGTAGAAAACTCGTCGCCAGACGTCCATATGTGCCACCAAAGGTGTCCGGAATTACGATCACCACTGCAGTGCCAACGACACTAAAACCAAAACGCAAATTTGTGCGCCGTAAATTCGGGCGTTTCCATCCTTTCAATGCCGTTAACCGCAACACTGGTGAAGGCTTTGTGCGTACAGATCCACGCGGTCAATTGCTGCCGGAAACTAAACGTTTCCGCATACAGAACGGTAAGCGAGTGCCAATACCGGATAGCGAAACTTTAGCTGAAGATGAGGAATACGAAGAATATGCAGATGAAAATGATGAAGCTGAGGAGGAGGATGAGGAAGAAACGACCACGAATGACGAACAAAACAAACCACAAACCCCGGTACCTATTGTAGCAATACGTCCAGTTACGCGCCCAACTGGCTTGTTAAATAAACCACCAACTACATTGTTAAATGTGTTGAGAGAAAAGGCTGCAGAAACTGAAGCGGACACCGAAGAAAACGTGGTTAGTGAAAATGAGGAGGAAGGGGAAGACGAGGAGGAGGACGAAGACGAAGAGGAAGAGGAAGAAAATGTCGATGCGTCAGACGATGATACAAAACAAGCATCCCCCAAATTCAATACACCTACATATCGTCCTAAAGACAACCGCGTACCACCAGGTGCACGCCCCGCACTACCCTCTACCTCTACACCTTCATCAGGTAATGTTCCTTTTAACAACAGAGCCCGTCAGCCATCATCCTCAGCTGTTGAACGCACCAACGGTAATCGTTTCGGCACCTCTGCACTCGGCAACACGCGTGTCACAAATAGACCGCGTGTTGTTAATCGGCCACAAGGAGTCGTGCCACCAAGCCTACCACTCAAACCAATTGCCACCACTTTCGAGCGTACCACCCCGGTGGTACCGACAAAACCGGCACCATTTATATCAACCAACACACGTTCCTATGAACGGAAATACACAGCCACTTCCACAGAGACACCGGAAATCATTAGCGATAACTCACTTATTGAAGATTTAAACATCGAAGCACTAAATGCACGCAACAAAAAGATATTTGATATCAATAGCAAAAAACACACTACCCTAAAACCGAAAATAGTCATACCTGGCGCCAAACAAACACCAACAGATCAACAACAAGATACACAAGATCCCTTTAAACAAAACACAGAAACAGAAAACGATGATAAATACACAGCAGATGTGGGCGGTGGTGAACAGGGTTACATAACCACAACACCACGCACATCCGCCGCTAGCGACACAAACACTGATTATTATGTCAATGCTAATGAAATCTCTTCACAGGACAATGGGTCAGTCGGTGAACGTACTATATTTACGACACCGCAAACACCGACCACGACTCTATTGCACGTTTTCACGCTGACCGCTGACGAGCAGACAAATCGGCCACCAACCGCCAGCGCAAATACAATTGGACGATTGGTACCCGAGAGGGCGCGTCCCAAGCACAAAGTGGTAGAGATCAATCGTATTGTTGAGATCACCTCGAAAGCTGACAAACTGCGACGCAAATCGAAATCAAATCAAGAATTCCTCAAACCGATCGGTGAGTCGCAACTACAGGTAGAGTCTTTGCCACATTTAGAGCAGCTGGGCGAAATCAGCGTAGTGAAATTTGTGCATTTGGTCGATGGTAGCGATATCTCCGTTGATGGACACAGCACTGTCACCGATTATACGCCTACAGAGTCGACTGCATCAGCACCTGTAAGGAACTCGTTGCCCGAGGGTGTGCCTTACTTTGTACCACAGTATGCCTATTCTACGGAGAGTGTGCAAGTACGCACCACTTTGGAACAACGTAACGGTAAAGCATTGATACCTGAAGTTATACGCAGTGCGGTGGAGTCCTCGACCATCTCTTTGGAAGGCCTTTTCGAAGGGGGACGGCAAGGTAAAGAACTCAATTCTCTAAATAATGTGTACTACATATTCGGTACAGACGAAACAACAACAACCAGTACTGTTAACATAAACGCGAACGTAAACGTAAACGAGAACGAAACACAAAACATAGAAATCACAACACCAAGTACAAGCACGACCACAAGTTCGGCTTTACCGACCACCACGACCTTGTCAACGACAGAAACCATCACCACAACTGCAAGCGCTTTGCCCCTTATCCCGCATAGCAATAGCGTAAATAACATTCCTAACGAAGTCTCCACAAATTTAGAATCCACAACGATTGTAGGTAATACCGTAGATGAAGATGAGAATACAACATTCATGCCGTCGATAACAAACTCAACCACAATTGAAGCAACTTTCAGCCAAAACAATGCTACTTTAGCTGAAGTTAACAGTAATCTCGTGGAAACGACTACATCCACAGCCACCGATGATAAGGCTAGCACCGATACGCCCGTGAAATCAAGCACATACGTAAGACCTGTTGTACCACTACCACTCTTACGTCCCGAATCCAATGAGTCCTCTCCACTAGTCATAACCATAGCCAACCTCGACAAAGTCATACTTAGTAAAGTAGATCGCACAGTCTCAGCCGAAAATAGGTTGGCGTCCGCCATCACTGACCAAAACCAACAAAAACAATTAACCGAACCCAAACCCGCTGACTCGAATGCGGATTACTCCAGTCGTTTTGCCTCTGTCGTTGTGGCACCCACCAATCTCGTACACGACACAAACGCCAAAGCTCAACTCGCAGACGCGAATGTGTCTAAAACTGTAGCTTCCAGTGTTGGTAATAGTAGTGACATTGATAGCGCTGCAGGTTCTAGTGTTAGTACGAATACTACGAGTAGCTTAAGTAGTGGCAGCATAGTGAAAGAAGTGATAAGCTTTAGCACCGAGACGCATGTGGTGCGTAAGAAGAAATCGCGTAAACATAGGGCGCGAAAATTGCAAAAATCCGGTAAACACAGGTCCACCACAGTTGCAGCGCCTGCTGCAACAGTAATCCCAAATGTAGTCAGCAATGATGAGGGCTACAAAAGTAGCAGCACAAGCGCAAGCGTTACAGAATTGCCAGCAACAACGCCAGGGCTGATAACGACGCCGCGCGTGCGCGTCATACAATTCGATTGAGAATGTTTAGCGCTTTAGTTTAGCTAAATTTAAGTGATAGTTTTTGAAGTGAAAGTGCAAGGAACTTAATATTGAGCTACGTGAGTTGCTGTACACAGTCATATATCTGTTTACTGTTGTACATAAGAAAAGGGATGCAGCGCGTAGATTTGTTTAGTTATATTATTATTATTGTAATCAATTTTTTTCACATAAAATACTCGTAGTAGCTTATAAATTTCTAGTCTTACCATTATTTGTGCGTCTTTTAAGCTGCGGATTTTTATATATTTTGTTATTCTACATAAATCAAAATAAATATATAAAAAAGTGAAATAATTACAAAATAATTATTTGCGTTCGCTTCTTAACAAATATAATTAAGTATATTTCTAAGCCGCCCACTAAATTTATACTCTTTTTTGATGCTTTTTCCTTCTCATGCTCACTGTCACTCTCTTCAAAGTCTTTATTTTTCATGTACCCAACGCGTGTGCAAATGTACGTAAACAATTCTGTGAATATTTGTAGTGCCAGCTCTTTAAGTCAATCTCTGAGCGCTTTTTAAGAGTGCATTTTAAGATAATTGGTTTGTAAATAAGCAGCTGTGAAAGCATAAACTTTTCACATTGCTTTGAGTTGTTATTCATATAAATGAAGTATTGTTAAAATAATTGAAACTTTTAGGCAATAATTTAATTTCAATTTTTTCAACTCATTTTTTCAATTGGAGATTTCGACAACAATATAATAATGAGTTAACTCAATAATGTTTAATTTCAAGCTCTTCGTAAATATTCTGTTTTACGAAACTATCGAACCTTATTAGACGTTTCGTTTCAATTAATCTATATTGTCAATCTATTGAATTATATATCTAACCAATATAGCGCTCTTTTTAAAAGCATTTAAGCAAATGTTCTCTGATTTACGTAACAAATAAAAAAGCTGCCTTCAAAGCTATTCATGCATATTCTTTCTACTTTAAAGATTCGGTTCTATTTCTCAAATAAATCGCTTTTCAAATAAATCGCTTTTTAAAGAAATGTTATCTAAAATTAAATTCAACATGTAATCTTCGAAATATTTAATTGATAATATTAAAACCACTTTCTATTCTAAAAAAAAATTCGCCTTGGGGATAATGTGCTAAAAGCTGTAAAAGTCATTTTTGAAATATTTTAATTACACAAGTGATTAACTCTTTTTCTCTGCATTGGGTATAAAAAAAGTTCGGATTCATTCGAGCTTCGTTTTCTATATCTATCAATCTATTAAAATCAACGCATTGCCCTCAACTAGTATATTCTTGAAAAATTATGTAGGTTTTTGTCTAGACTAGTTTAGAGCTTTTTCTTAACGTTTACTCTTTACTTAACTACGTAGCTACGGTGATATTTTTTGTTCACTGTGGAATCGTTAGCTTTTTATGTTCTTTTTCATATAAATACATAAATACATTTAAGAACAAGCATATGTCCGCTGTCATTTAAAAAGTTCAGCTTGTATGAAGGTGACTTGCTTGCTATGCTGCTGCTTTTCGCTACATATTCATAAGCTTTTTTGCATAAAAAACAAAAACAAAAAAATCACATATAAAAATTGAGTCATAAAAGTCAGTAAAAATTTGCTTTTAAACATATAAATATAATTACATATTCAAAAAATATTTTTGTAAACGAAAATATATGCAATAAATATGTAAATGTGGCACGAAGCTGGCGGTCATAACCGCTAAAAGCACTGAATCAGCGTTAATGCCTTAAGAAAATAAAATTTTTATTGGTTCAGTTAAGTTTCGTTTATTTCTCCAACATATATTTATTCCTATTTTAAACTTTTATACCCTCTACCCCTTTTTAGCTACACTCTTGTACACTTACTCTTTTGTATTTATATATTTTAATATTTTAAAAATATTTTCAAAGTACTTATCGAAAATCTAATATGTATTTAAACAAAAAACAGTACTTAAGTCACAAAAATATTTAGTTGTAAAATATTTATATATAATTTTATGGATTTGACATTGTAAGTACTCAATAAAAAACAAAAGAAAAATGCACAAATACTTTGTAAAAATACAAATTTGAATTCTTGTATATAAATAATTACATAACATATGTATATGGTACTTATATAGTAGAACACGATGACTACACAATGTGAGAATCTCCTTAAATATATTTTATTTCTTATTTTTTAAATTTAAGGCTATATAATTTACATTATTAATGCCCTTACTCACCAAATAATCACATACCTACGCACGTACACAACCGTAGACTAACAGTATTTACTTGAAGCACACAAATGAGGCTCCCGAAAACAGAGGGCCCTCATGTACATACTTATACATATATAATTTAATAATTTTACAAACCCGTAAACAGCATTTTAAATTTGGCAATATATTTATTATCTTTACATTAAAGTGGGTCAAAAAACCGATATTTTCTCTTGCGCTTGAAACTCAAATAAATAGGTTCTTAGACACCTCTAAGAAAGGCGCTCCATGTATGAGCTCCTAATTGTAACGGGAAGGTCCTCCGCCTTACAGCTTTCTATTTTTTTCTTATTATCAGTTAGAAAAATTCAAATTTCGCTTCCAACTGCTTGAAATTTTCTATTTGCTGTTTCGTTTAATAGAAATTGAATGCTCTACAAAACGGTCTCTTACGATTTTTAAATAAATCTAACCGTTTAAAAGATATTAACGGTTCAAGTTTGATTATTTTAGGTGAAATTTCTTTTTTTCTTTTGTATTATATAACTTAATGATACAAAATCGATCGAAATTCGAAAACCTTTTGTAGGAAATGTAGTCCTATATCAAAAATACCAACTCTTATCGCTTATCAGTTGAACGAATTTAGTACCTATCTATAGAGTAAAACTAAAACCGTTTGCTATTATATCTTTAGGACCGCTGAGAGAAAAACTGTGTGCAATGGTAGGTATAGGGTTAAAAGGTGGGGGTCCACGTAGGGTAGAGGCCGACGTAGAGTTTTATGCTCTAATCACATCTGTATTAAATTATTTTTCGAGCTTTGGCGGCAGCCAATGTGTCAATAATAGTCTGGAAATCTATGTTGTTGGCTAATTCTACTTCTAGGCACTGTGTATGATCGATGGAAATTCTTGATCCTTGCTAAAACACTAAACAAATATTTATTACTTGTAACAGAAACGGGTAAATTGCAAAATATTCTCAAAGCGATGGAAATATTTGGGAAGCATTCAATAAATTTTATGGAGTAAGACGGGTTTTATAATTTGCATCTTAAACGTGACTGAAGTGAATAGTTTCATTGAACAACTCAGATACATCAACGGAATACTTCTTTCCAATATTTTTTGCAACTGCGTTAATTTAATCTTCTTTCATATCATGGAACTACCATAGAAATGAGAACGATTCATTTATGTCACTCACTGCGACGAATCTTCTCTTCATTCCACAGATAACGCTATCAAGAATGATGTAGAAAGTGTCTCTTTTGAATTCAATTTCTTCTTTACTGCAAATCCCCAATGAGGCTCCGGGCCCGGAGACTCGATCTCAAATTTTGCACATATCCTTTTTTCTCCAAGAAGCTGTTTATTTTTAGAAACCGGCAATATCGGACAACTACAGCATCTAGCTGCCATAAAAACTGAACGATCAAAACGTAGTTTATGTGTGAAAAACTTTCTTTATTTCACAACATATCTTTACGGAATTTGGCATGGCTTAACGTACAGATTGTTCTGATCGAATTTCTATAACATATAGCTGCCAAACAAATTTATCGATCAAAATCAAATTGTTCTACGAAAACTTTTCTATTTGTCAAGGGTATTATTACTTCTGTGCAATAGAAGCTGTTAGGGTTTAATTTAAGCTGTTAGGTATTAGCCTGGAATTTTTATACACCTTCGCTAACCCCGCGCAACGTAAGTCACACTCAAATTAGAAGCGCTAACGAACAAAAACGAAGGATTTCGAAACGAGAGCCATCAAAATCCAATATCACAAGAAAAAAATATGAAGCGTCACTTTAGGTACAAATGTCTAAAAGTACTCTTTGGCAAATCTTGTTGTATAGAAGCAACAAACTAAACTTTCACGATGACATTTACATTGAACAACAACAGTTCTATTAACTGCTGCCTTACAAAAAGTCAAGTCTCTAATCGAACATCTAGCATACCGCTTGACAGGTGCTCGTAACGTATAACAACGAGTGTCTCGCGGACGAACTCTTCGTCTAATTGTTGTCAGACATCAGTGAGCAATTAAAAAAAGCACCGCAAGCTTGTTTTTGTTACTGCTTTATGTTGATCTCATCCGAATGGATGACTTAAAAACTGTGGTGTTCAAAAATATTTTTGAGTTACTCTTTTTGGATTTTTTTAGGTTATTTTTTTTTTTTTTTTTTTTTTAACTATCGTACCTACTTGCGCCCATTTGTGTATGTAGCTAGACCGAAAAATTTGGGTAATCAGATATTCTGGAATCGCTTCAAAGTGATTATATCACACAAACGAAAATTAAAAGAAACAAAAAAACAATAAAATCAGCTACAATCCGGCTCTTGAAACTTGCACCGACGTGTGCTGCATGTAAAGTGAGCTCACTTGCATAACTGCATATTTGTGCATGCATGTATTAACATGCGCTTTGCATGAACAGAATTGCTTGTTGAAGTGCAGAAGTTTGGATGACACTGCACTTACTTACCTTTGAAGTGAATAAATAACGAAATTACAAATTGTTTACTTTAAATTACCTGATATTCACTTAGATATTCTATTCTCAGTAATTATGCCACAATTATTAGCCAAGTTCATAACCAACGCTTGAGCGATCGCCAACACTCGATTGCTTGATGTAACGCTTCACGAATTCAAAAGATTCCAGCCAGCAAAATAAAAAGTAACAGCACGGCATATTAATTCCACATGTTTTACCGAAATTTTATGCTTGATTGCAATGGCTAGATTTCATGCGTGCCTCGGCAGTGTCGGTTATT